AATCTCGGTCAAAGTTAAAAAATCAAATTTTTCAGGCGGAAATTTCCGGAGGTCATGTGAGATTCCGTAAATCGACGCCTAATTAAATTTCCTGATGATGTTATATACAACAGGTAATTTACCTAGGTGATTCACCTAGTAGTTAACCTGGTAAGCCACCTGTTACATGATCTTCAATTTACATAAATTACAAATAAATAATAAATAAATTAAGAAATAATATAATAAAAATAAATTAAATTAATATTCTATAACATTTCCTCCTTAGTATTTAGCTCCTGCAAAATGCTTCATATTTTGAGAAAGTTGTTCTCTACATTTTTGAATAAAATAATCAAAATCCATACTAGTTAAATGATATAACCAATTAGAAGTAATATATCTAAATTGAAGAATGGAAAATTCACCAAGCACAGACAATAATTTCTGTACTCTATTTGCAGCAGTCAAAAATCGAGTACCATTTTGACTGGTTATTTGTTAGACTTCTTGTCTCAATTGTTTCATAGTTAATTGTTATTCAACAAGATCTTTTGATAATAGAGACCAAAATTTCAAGTATGCAAAGAGTCGTTATCCATTTGTTTTTGCAGTATCAATAGTAACACTTATAAGAAATAAAATATTTCCTTTATCATACAATTCAAGGTCAAAGTCAACTTCAGCATTACATGTATCTTCAATATATCTATTGAAATTTGAGATTGTGTTCATTGATAATGAGTAGAAATTGATAGAGAGATTTTTGAAAACTACTTTGTATAACAATTCTTGCAAAGGTCATTTGTATATTAACAGAAGTATTGTAGCAGTTCTCGTCTTGTTGACGTAATTTACCGCAGTAGTTTTACGTAGACTTATTTCTAATTTTATTTTTATTTTTCTTTCTTTTTCTATTTTTCTTTTATTTATATTATTAATGATTTCACATGAAGAATCAGGCTGAAAGCATGTTATAGAAATGTGATAATCATTTTAATCTATTTTTGTACATGTGAATTATATCTATTATTTCTATTTATATTCTTATTAATTAATTCACATGTATCTTTTTATTCTTTTTATATTTATATTATATATTATGTTGCCTATTCTGGAAAGGTTCTATGAACCTAAGATATGTAATAATATTTATCTATATTTATAATTATGTATTTTTATCATTATATAAAGGTATAAGAAAATAAAGAGGTAAGCAAGTTCTTGTCAATTAATTTATTTTTATATCTATATTTTATTGGAATAATATTTGTTGATATTATTTCCGTATAATAAATAGTTGTTGCTATTTATTCGCTCATTATAAATTAACAAATTAGTAGATTTGTTATAAACAATGTGTTTAATACACTGGTTGAATAAAGAAAATCACACAAAATTTTTGATGCAAATAAGTAGAGATCAATTAGTTACAGTTAAAACTTTATTAAACAAAAATAAAATAATAAACCCTGTAGAAAAATTATTTTCAAAAGAAACTTTCAGTATGCCTAAAAGCATTACTATTCATACATCATTTACAGTTATTTTGATTGTGCTCACATTCACATTTGCAGAGTTTTTAAAATACTTTATTAAAAAGAAGTCAAACAAATGGAAAGAACTTGACTTCTTTAAATAGTTAAATGAAAAAGATGATAAGTTATTTCACACAAATATACTGCTTCAAAATCAAAAAGAAAAATAAAATAGTCAGTTTAAGAAAGTATTGAAAAATATTGGATCTCAGTATAAAAGTTATCTAGAACAAATACACAAATTGATGAGAAAATTTGTAAATAATATGTAAATAAGTAAATAAACAAGTCAATTGTAGATGATATACAAATAGATTAAGCTAATTTGTATCAAAAATTTTGATCATTCAATATGTAATAAAATTATATTATATCTTTTATATCTCTTGTATTTCTTGTGTATTTTTTGTAAATAATAATTTTGAAATATTTTATATTAAATTAAAAGTATTGTTAAAGTTTACCAGTGCATCAGAAATTTTATAAAGATGTTCTAGTATGCTATAAATACAAAATGTTGAAATAATGTACTAAAAACATTAATTTTAGTATGCTATAAATATGAAATGTTTAAATAATACACTAGAAATTTATGTTCTAGTATATCATTAATTCAAAATATTTAAATAACACACTAAAATGATATGTTTAATACACTATTATGCTATAGAATGGTATTTGTATAGTATTGTAAAATGTTTTTATTTAATTCCTGATGTGATAATTATTATACAGGTCAAATACAAAAGTTGATTTATAATATAGGATGCAATAAGGTGATCAATTTTTAGCTAGTCTATGATATAAGAATTTTGATTTTTATTTGATTTAATATAGAAATTACCATTTGATATAGTGATTCTTTTGTATTTGACTAGTATTACCACTAATAATTGTCACTAAGAATGATTAGCTCAATAAATATTAGATCTCAATAATTCTACCTCTGGCTAATTGATTTTCTCCTGGTTAAATTTTGGCTGTTTTTATTCACATCAAATTAAAATCGAATTAAAATCAAAATTTTAACTAGATACTTGAATAATGCTAATAATTAAAGTTGTGGACATCATTTCTGGCTACAATTCCATATAAGATAGTTAGCATCAATCTTTAATATTTATCAAGTCTGGTATGGGTAACGTTCAAAGATCAAATTTGACAATTTTATTTGAATTGTAATTTCTCCACTTGTAGGCATTCAATTTTAACAAAAATATTTCTTATGATAGCCCTAGTACTAGGGAATCTAATAAAAAAAAGTTTATACAATTTAAATTACTCGTTGTATCACAATTAGCATTTTAAATTTTGTAATTTTTTTAGTAATTTTCAACTGTCCCATGAACTTTTGATAACCCATTGTACACCGCAGTTAAAATCACGAGCCCAATGTTGGTAAAAAATGCTTAGTAAAGTAACTATTATTTTTATTGATGTAAACACCCGCATACAGTATACACTGTGTACATGTTAAAAGATAAACCCAGTATAAAAAACTTATTAAAACTGAGCCACCAATAATTGTTTAATATTCCCTAAATGTCATGTGTTTCTGTGAGTGCATTTCGAACAAAAAAGAAGTCAATTGGAATAGGATCAGGTAGAATATTTTGGGGGATTTGGATAGGACGCTTCACATTATGATAAAGACAATCGAGTGAAATGTTTATAATGCATTGACCTTGCAAGATATTCAATGGTGCTCCAGCGCCATCTTGGGTTCCAAATTCAAACTAATAATCATTATACATACATTAGAGATTTTTAAAATGTTAACAGAAAAGCG